CAGCCCTCCATGGCTCCCACTTTCCTCAGGGAAAAGCCCATGTCCTCCCTGAAGCCCACAGGGATGACCTGTCCCTATCACCTCCCTGCCCTTTGCCTCCTTGCTCACTCGTTCCAGCCACACATGAGCCTCCTTAATGTTCCTCCAACACTCCAGGCACGGTCCTGCCTCGGGGCCTTTGCACAGACTGTGCCCTCCACTTTAGGCAATTTCATGGCCAATTCCTTCACTTCCTACATGTCTTTGTTCAAATGTCACCTCCCATGAGGTCTTCCCAAACCTCCTCATTTCAAATCACAGCCTTTTCCTTATCCCATCACGCCCTACCCACTTCCCCACGTTAAGCCCTGATCACCACCCAGCAGACCTGATACTTACTATACTCATTGCTTTATTGTTTATTTAGGAATTTGTGGCTCTTTTGTTTATTGCTGACCCCTCCCCTACCCAGCACCTGACCCATATACTTGCTCCATAAATATTTGTTGAGTGAATAAATAAATGATTGAAAATTCTACTGGCTGCACCTTTGATATTTATCCCAAATCCACTCTGTCACCACACCATGACCACCCAAATCAGATCCAAGCCGCCGTCATCCCGCTCCTTATTGACTGCGACAGTGTCCTTCATTAATTCGTTCGTTTAACAAACATTTACTGTCTTCGTAGTCCTTACTATGTCACTAGCTAAAATCATCTTCTCTACGAGGTCTCTCCCCCCGCTCGCATCCCACTAGGCTGTAAGTCGTCCCCTCCCCCTCCATCGGACACGGCCTCGCCCCCTTGAAGTTTCGTTTTGAATTCTTGTAACCACTAGGAGGAGCTAGACCCCTTCAGGGGACAGGCTCTTATCCTCTGTACCAAAACTAGGCCTGTGAGGGTCAAGGAAGGGACCCTGCCCCTCCTGAGACTGGAGTCCCTTCCGCATTGGCGGGAGCAAAGCCCCGTCCGGACATTCCCAGCTTTGCAATCCCACAGGCATCAAACCTTTTGATCCCCAAGCACCCCCGGCTCTCTACGCGTTAATTTCCTCCTCTGTAAAACAGGCGACAGCACATGATTATCGTGGGGATCAGAGAGGTGGGGCGGCGAAGGCGAGAGCGAAGCAGACAGGACAGGGCTCCGAATTGGAATCCCACCTCGACCACTCACAAGCCTGGCGAACTTAGACACGTGGCTGAGTTGCCCCATGCCTCGGTTTCTGTATCTGGAAAATGGGGGTGATGAAAATAATGCGTTGAGGCAGGTCAAGTAAGTAGAACATCCCTGGTATACAGTGAGTGCTCAGTAAATGTCAGCTGCGGCTACTGCTTTCAAGACCGTCGTTTCGTGTTATCATGAGCCCATGATAAACGTGGCCAGAGTGTTCTTTCTCTTCCTCCAGGTCACCCCCTCACCTTTCTCTTGCTTGTCTTGCATGATCGAAGCCCCCCTTCTACCCCCAAATCCAGCCCAACTCCATTCATCGTGCTGTCGCTGGGGGAGGCTGTCGTGTTTTCCTACATGACGTGTCTCCTCCACAAAACCCGCCGCCCAGCTGGGGGTTCCTTTCCGGGAAACCCAAGTGAGCTTCCTGGAGGAAGCGCGCCCCTCTCTACTTCTCAGCAGCAGCCACCCCCGGCCACACGTGAGAGCCGAGGGGGCCGCCCCGCCCCCACCCG